AACTGTTGCGATGTAAATGTGAAGGAACTCAAAACACGTCCTCGTTTTAAACACGAAACTTATATTAAATAACTGCACAATACAAGTATAAACAAGAAAATAACATATAACACTTATAAGTACGAGAGCAGAACAAAAAACAGTGAAGAATAGAGAGCATAGCAGCTGCCTTGCGAATGCGTTTCGTCTGAGTCTGACTATTCAACTGAATTAATTAAATGTTCTTTGGCATAGTTCCAAAAGCGAAAGAGTCAGGTTGAGTTGTTCTGTTCCGGTCCACCGGAACATACTCCCACCCTATCAGGCATTAGTCCTGATATATGGGCAAAGGTGCTAATTTATGAATGTTTCTTTTGAAAACAGAGTTTTTTAGTTTTAACCGTGGCCACACGAACTAGTCCGTCAACACCATGATGAAGTTCGACCACTTGCCCTAGTGGCCAAGAACCTGGAATATGACCATCATCTAGTAACAGGACGATGTCTCCAGTTTTCATATTCGGCTGAGTGTCCTTCCATTTCTTTCTGGTTTGAAGAGAAGATAGATATGCTTTGGTCCATGATTTGCAGAAGTCCTTGCGCATCTTTTGAAGGAGATCCCACCTATTCCGTATATTAGCAGGACTAGTAAGAGGTAGTTCAGGAGGGGATAGGATCACGTCTCCTGTAAGAAAATGTGAAGGAGTGAGAATATTAATGCAATCAATGTCAGTATTGTTTACACTACATAACGGACGAGAATTTAAAATGGCTTCTATCTGAGCCAATAGAGTTGTCAATTCTTCGAAAGTAAGTAGCGTTTCACCTATTACTCTTTTACAGTGATATTTGGTTGATTTAATTGCGGCCTTCCCAAATTCGTTCCGAAATGAGAAGATGCTGGAGGTATAAAGTGTCATTCTATTGATGCTTGAGTTAAATGATGAGCAACGGCTTCGTTCTTAGAGAAGTGAAGCCCACTATCGTTGTATTTCGCTCAGCTTTCGATTAGCCCCAACGAAGTTTGTTGCATTGTCGCTGTAAATGTGACTTGGAGCTCCTCGTCTAGCACTGAAGCGACGCAAAGCAGCTAAAAATGCATCAGCGGTTAAATCGCTCACTGCCTCGATGTGTAGTGCCTTAGTAGCGAGACAAATAAATAGAGCAATGTAACCCTTGGTTGATTTTGCTCCACGATTTGATTGAAATAGGACCGGCATAGTCCACTCCGCAGTTGAAGAAAGGCCTCTCGAGTGTTACACACGATGCTTAGGTAGATTACCCATAAGCTGAGATGCGGTGGATGCTTTAAATTTGAAGCAATTTGATGCATTTGTGAACACATTTATTAATGAGCTTTTTTCCACCTATGATCCAATATGATTGTTTGATAATGTGGGACAGTAATGAAGCACCAGCATGTAAATAAGTCACATGCTTTTCTTTTACAATGAGCTCACTTATCTTGTGTTTAGCAGGTAGAATCTCTGGGTGCTTTTGATTAAAAGACAATTCTGAATTTTGTAAACGCCCTCCCACCCGTAAAAGATGGAGGGAGTGTAGCTGACTTTTCTTAGGCAACGATCTTTGATTTTAATGCATTTTAGGTCTTCATTAAAATAATCTTTCTGAACCCATCGAATTATGATTATTTCTGCATTTTTAGTTTCCGTGTAAGTGAGTGGAGAAAAGGAATCAGTTATAAGTGTTTGACATTTGTTATTGGTTTTGCACTATTGATGAATCTTAAACAATATGCTAAAATGCGTATAATCTTAGAAAATGATGAATATTTTTCAAATAAATCACTATATAATTCATTTGATGTAGCACTATGAAATGAAAATATAGGATCAGATCTTTGTTCAGCTTTAATTAGATCCTTGATTTCTTTGGAAGCGGATTCCTCTTTCGGCCAGTGAGCCGAATCCAAAAAAAGCCAACTTGGGCCATTCCACCACAAGTTGCAATTAGGAAGACATTTGGGATCAATACCACGCGAAGCGATATCTGCTGGGTTATCTTTGGAAGGGACATGCCTCCAGTATTTTGTCGGAAGTACTTCGATTATTTGAGACGTCCGGTTTGCAACAAAGTCTTCCATTTACAGGGATATGCCGAAAGCCAAGGAAAGTACGGACTTTGGAGTCAGTCCAAGCGTAAAACATGTCAAACTTATATTTTTTGAGAGTGTTCATGACTGCACTATATAACTTTGAAAGCAAATTGAGCACTGCATAATTCCAATTTAGGAACAGATACGTGTTTGATAGGTGGCGACTTTAGTTTTAGGAAACTAAGAGAGAAACTCTTTATTTCATTTCCGTGTATTTGTTTGCATTATATTGCAGCAGCGTAAGCAAGTGTTGAAGCGTCACAAAAGCTGTGCAGTTCAATTGTGTCAGAGGAAATATGCGTGACACCTCTAGGAACGGTAAAATGTTAAACTGCATTGAAAGATTTCTGAAATTTAAACAAATCTTCAGCAAGGCTTTGTGGAATGGGAGAATCCCAGTCCCCTTTTGTAAGCCAGAGCTTCTGATAAAAAATTTTCATTACAACAGTACATGGTGAAATTAATCCTAATGGATCGAAAATGCGTGCCGATTGGGACAAAATGTGTCTTTTTGTCAGCGGTGAGGTGAGTGCAAGTGCGGGTTTGAAAATGAATGTGTCTGTTGAAGAGTTCCAAAATAATCCTAAGACTTTCGTGCTTTCCTTATCATTAGGAATTATTTTCTAAATTAAGTGTCCGTTGAACATGTTCTTGAAATTCAGCAAGAAATGCATTTGAATTAGAATTCCACTTTCGTAGGTGGAAACCGTGTGTTTGTAAAATATTGGTAATTTCCTTACAAAGTGATATTTCATCACTATCGGTACTTGAACCCGATAGCAAATAATCCATGTATACATCGTGTAGTAAAGTATGAGACACAGCACTATTTTGTGAATAATCTAGTGCAATTTGCTTAATGCATCTAGTGGCTAGGAAAGAAGCTGGAGCTAAACCATATGTTACGGTGTTTAACTTGTATGTGCGTATTTCTTCGTTAGGATTAAACCTCCAAAGAATTTGTTGGTAGTTCCGATCCTCATCGGACACTAAAACTTGACGGTACATTTTCTCTATGTCTGCTGAAAAGACTATTTCCGGAAATCGAAAATTAAGTAAAATTTCGAAAATGTCTCGTTGCAATTTAGGACCAACACCCAAGATAGATTTCAATGATTTACCGTTGGAAGTTTTACATGAAGCGTCGAAAACGACTCTTAATTTAGTAGTTGTACTAGACGGCTTGATCACTGCATGATGGGGAAGGAAATATTGCTCATTCTGAAATCTATTTAAACAGTTTTGTGTGAACCAATTCCATATGACCTAAATTTTCATATTCATGCATAAAATCCTTGTATTGGTTTTTCAAATTCCGAGTTTTCCTTAAATTTACGTTCCATAGCATATAATCGAGAAAGTGCAAGCTGGTTTTGAATTACCTAATTCAGATTTAGATTTTAAAAATGGCAACTTCACCACAAAACGACCATCTGAATTAATTGAGTAATTTTCCCGAAAATGTGTTTCAACAAATTGTTCTTCAGGCGAGAATGCAGGTCAGTTGAATTGGTAGCTTCTAACTCCCAAACCTTTCAATTCGTGTCATATTTATTTCATAAAATGCTTTTGAAGTTTTGATTTGTATTGTAGTTTTGTAAAACAAAATGTTTCAATAATCCGAAATTATTTCAACATTTTGGAGGCACCGGCGAGATTTCGGTTTCGTCAGCACTGCAACGCTGCATTCGGTACAGTAATGGATACTACTGGATACTTTTAGCTTCGAACTTCATTTAAAGACCAAGCAAGATAAGTATTTTTTTTTTCTTTTTTACAAGTTTGACTTTGGTTTTCCTCATTGCACCATTACGTCGTAATGGAAGACAAGGTTAAGATTGCAAAAAATAGTAGAGGTAGAGCGAAAGCTGCTCTTACCAGAATTTCAAATTTCATTAATGATGATAAGCAGTTATTCGAAAAATACGATTTAATGAATAAACTTCAAAAAATTGAAAGCGTTTATTCTGATTTTGACAAGGCAGACGCAGAACTTCCGCCGGAAAGTTCTGAAATGGAAGAATTTGAGAAAAAATATTATGAAACCAAAGCCAAACTACAACAAGAACTTGAGAAATTAAATGTTACTGTTAATATGCAAGTTACTAATGTTAATGAACGTCAAATGCCAGGTTATAGTACTACAAATACTGCTAATAATTTTAAATTACCGAGAATAAATATGCAATCCTTTTCAACGGTAATTACAGAAACTGGATGTCTTTCAAGGACTTATATGTATCATTAGTGCATAACAATGAAAATTTAAGCAACATTCAAAAATTTCAATATCTAAAGGGTTTATTAACTGATGAACCGGCTTCTATTATTAAACATATTCCCATTTCAGAAAATAGTTATATGGAAGCCTGGGGAAAATTATTATCTAGGTATGATAAAAAAAACAAATTGTCACATCACTAATAAAAACTTTCATGGAACAATCTTGTGTAATTAATGCAAACTCAATTAATTTGCGAAAAATTGCCGATAAATCTGATGAAATTATCAGAGGTTTAAAATCTATTGATCCAAAAGCTAGTGAAAGGGATGTTTGGCTAATTTATATTTTATTAAAGAAGGTTGACAACGAAACATGTAAGCAATGGTCTGAATTTTCAGCAAAAGTGGAATTTCCTACTTTTGAAATGTTTATTCAATTTATAAATGATAGTGTTCCTCTTTAGAAATTTTCCACGAAAAAGAAAGGGAAAAAAACTCAACCTAGTGTTAAAAGATTTTCTGTGAACAAAAGGTATCAAATGTATTATGTGTAAATCAGATCATTTTCTTTTCAAATGCCCCAAATTTAAAGCACTAACTGTCAAAGAAAGAAATCAATTTGTCAGGAAAAATAATCTTTGTTTAAATTGTTTTTTCTAGTCAGCACAAAAAATCTGAATGTATGTCTCAACATCGTTGTCATTATTGCCAGTTATTGCATAATAGTACTCTGTGTGAAAATCAGTTAAAAAGTTATTCCACATCTGTGTCTCTTTCTGAGACCAGTTTTCAGTCAGAACAGCAAAGAAAGAATCCAGCCGCGAATGAAATACCAAACATTGCGTCTACGAATGAAAACAAAAACGGAACTGTAATTCAAAATAATAGCGTTCAAACAACTTTTGGCTTATTGCCAACTGCATATGTAAATGTAATTGATTCGATGGGTCAAAAACGTAATATTAGAATGCTTTGTGATAGTGGTTCCGAATCAACATTATTATCTGAATCTTGTATTAATTTATTGGGATTTAAAAGAAAAAATGCGCGTTTTCCTGTCAAGGGTTTAGCTGAGTCAGAAGTCGCAGTTACAAAAGGTTGCGTTGAAATCGAGTTGATGTCAATCCATGATGCATCAGTGAGAATGCCAATTAAGGCATTTGTATTAGATAAACTAACTGCTGCGCTTCCAAGCCAAAAAATAAATGAGAAAGACTTTTCGCATTTGAAAAATGTAAAGTTAGCTGATCCATATTTTCACATTCCGGATAAGATAGATATTATTCTAGGATCTGACTACTTGTTTTCTATTTTACTTCCTGGACAAATAACTTGTTCTCAAAGTGATTTAATTGCTCAAAACTCAATTTTTGGTTTCCTCATATCCGGAAAACTACCAGAATCTCAAACGAAATCAAATTCACTTTCAAACATGCATATTTATGAAATAAATATTGACAGCGAATTGAAAAGGTTTTGGGAGTTAGAAGAAGTACCAAATTCAACTGACACTGTATTATCACCTGAAGAACAATTTGTTGAAACACATTTTCGGGAAAATTACTCAATTAATTCAGATGGTCGTTTTGTGGTGAAGTTGCCATTTTTAAAATCTAAATCTGAATTAGGTAATTCAAAACCAGCTGCACTTTCTCGATTATATGCTATGGAACGTAAATTTAAGGAAAACTCGGAATTTGAAAACCAATACAAGGATTTTATGCATGAATATGAAAATTTAGGTCATATGGAATTGGTCACACAAAACTGTTTAAATAGATTTCAGAATGAGCAATATTTCCTTCCCCATCATGCAGTGATCAAGCCGTCTAGTACAACTACTAAATTAAGAGTCGTTTTCGACGCTTCATGTAAAACTTCCAACGGTAAATCATTGAATTCAATCTTGGGTGTTGGTCCTAAATTGCAACGAGACATTTTCGAAATTTTACTTAATTTTCGATTTCCGGAAATAGTCTTTTCAGCAGACATAGAGAAAATGTACCGTCAAGTTTTAGTGTCCGATGAGGATCGGAACTACCAACAAATTCTTTGGAGGTTTAATCCTAACGAAGAAATACGCACATACAAGTTAAACACCGTAACATATGGTTTAGCTCCAGCTTCTTTCCTAGCCACTAGGTGCATTAAGCAAATTGCACTAGATTATTCACAAAATAGTGCTGTTTCTCATACTTTACTACACGATGTATACATGGATGATTTGCTATCGGGTTCAAGTACCGATAGTGATGCAATATCACTTTGTAAGGAAATTACCAATATTTTACAAACACACGGTTTCCACCTACGAAAGTGGAATTCTAATTCAAATGCATTTCTTGCAGAATTTCAAGAACATTGTTCAACGGACACTAATTTAGAAATAATTCCTAATGATAAGGAAAGCACGAAAGTCTTAGGATTATTTTGGAACTCTTCAACAGACACATTCATTTTCAAACCCGCACTTGCACTCACCTCACCGCTGACAAAAAGACACATTTTGTCCCAATCGGCACGCATTTTCGATCCATTAGGATTAATTTCACCATGTACTGTTGTAATGAAAATTTTTTATCAGAAGCTCTGGCTTACAAAAGGGGACTGGGATTCTCCTATTCCACAAAGTCTTGCTGAAGATTTGTTTAAATTTCAGAAATCTTTCAATGCAGTTGAACATTTTACCGTTCCTAGAGGTGTCACGCTTATTTCCTCTGACACATTTGAATTGCACGGCTTTTGCGACGCGTCAACACTTGCTTACGCTGCTGCAATATATTGCAAACAAATACACGGAAATGAAATAAAGGTTTTCTCTCTTAGTTTCTAAAACTAAAGTCGCACCTATCAAACAAGTATCTGTTCCTAAATTGGAACTATGCAGTGCTCATTTGCTTTCAAAGTTATATCGTGCAGTCATGAACACTCTCAAAAAATATAAGTTTGATGTTTACGCTTGGACTGACTCCAAAGTCGTACTTTCCTGGCTCTCGGCACATCCCCGTAAATGGAAGACTTTTGTTGCAAACCGGACGTCTCAAATAATCGAAGTACTTCCAACAAAATACTGGAGGCATGTCCCTTCCAAAGAGAACCCAGCAGATATCGCTTCGCGTGGTATTGATCCCAAATGTCTTCCTAATTGCAACTTGTGGTGGAATGGCCCAAGTTGGCTTTTTTTGGATTCGTCTCACTGGCCGAAAGAGGAATCCGCTTCCAAAGAAATCAAGGATCTAATTAAAGCTGAACAAAGATCTGATCCTATATTTTCATTTCATAGTGCTACATCAAATGAATTATATAGTGATTTATTTGAAAAATATTCATCATTTTCTAAGATTATACGCATTTTAGCATATTGTTTAAGATTCATCAATAAGTGCAAAACCAATAACAAATGTCAAACACTTATAACTGATTCCTTTTTCTCCACTCACTTACACGGAAACTAAAAATGCAGAAATAATCATAATTCGATGGGTTCAGAAAGATTATTTTAATGAAGACCTAAAATGCATTAAAAATCAAAGATCGTTGCCTAAGAAAAGTCAGCTACACTCCCTCCATCCGTTTATAGATGAAAACAGTCTTTTACGGGTGGGAGGGCGTTTACAAAATTCAGAATTGTCTTTTAATCAAAAGCACCCAGTGATTCTACCTGCTAAACACAAGATAAGTGAGCTCATCGTAAAAGAAAAGCATGTGACTTATTTACATGCTGGTGCTTCATTACTGTCCCACATTATCAAACAATCATATTGGATCATAGGTGGAAAAAAGCTCATTAATAAATGTGTTCACAAATGCATCAAATGCTTCAAATTTAAAGCATCCACCGCATCTCAGCTTATGGGTAATCTACCTAAGCATCGTGTAACACTCGAGAGGCCTTTCTTCTTCAACTGCGGAGTGGACTATGCCGGTCCTATTTCAATCAAATTCAACAAGGGTCGTGGAGCAAAATCAACCAAGGGTTACATTGCTCTATTTATTTGTCTCGCTACTAAGGCACTACACATCGAGGCAGTGAGCGATTTAACCGCTGATGCATTTTTAGCTGCTTTGCGTCGCTTCAGTGCTAGACGAGGAGCTCCAAGTCACATTTACAGCGACAATGCAACAAACTTCGTTGGGGCTAATCGAAAACTCAGCGAAATACAACGATTGTGGGCCTCACTTCCTAAGAACGAAGCCGTTGCTCATCATTTAACTCAAGCATCAATAGAATGGCACTTTATACCTCCAGCATCTCCTCATTTCGGAGGAATTTGGGAGGCCGCAATTAAATCAACCAAATATCACTGTAAAAGAGTAATAGGTGAAACGCTACTTACTTTCGAAGAATTGACAACTCTATTGGCTCAGATAGAAGCCATTTTAAATTCTCGTCCGTTATGTAGTGTAAACAATACTGACATTGATTGCATTAATATTCTCACTCCTTCACATTTTCTTACAGGAGACGTGATCCTATCCCCTCCTGAACTACCTCTTACTAGTCCTGCCAATATACGGAATAGGTGGGATCTCCTTCAAAAGATGCGGCAAGGACTTCTGCAAATCATGGACCAAAGCATATCTATCTTCTCTTCAAACCAGAAAGAAATGGAAGGACACTCAGCCGAATATGAAAATTGGAGACATCGTCCTGTTACTAGATGATGGTCATCTTCCAGGTTCTTGGCCACTAGGACAAGTGGTCGAACTTCATCATGGTGCTGACGGACTAGTTCGTGTGGCCACGGTTAAAACTAAAAAGCTCTATTTTTTAAAAGAAACATTCATAAATTAGCACCTTTGCCCATATATCAGGACTAATGCCTGATAGGGTGGGAGTATGTTCCGGTGCACCGGAACAGAACAACTCAACCTGACTCTTTCGCTTTTGGAACTATGCCAAAGAACATTTAATTCAGTTGAATAGTCAGACTCAGACGAACGCATTCGCAAGGCAGCTGCTATGCTGTCTATTCTTCACTTTTTTTGTTCTGTTCTCGTACTTATAAGTGTTATATGTTATTTTCTTGTTTACTTGTATTGTGCAGTTATTTAATATAAGTTTCATGTTTAAAACGAGGACGTGTTTTGAGTTCCTCACTTACGCACATAAATTTTAAAACGCACAGTAAGAAACGATATGAATCGTTACGGGTTAATAACACGCAATTATCCATAGTCGAAATTTAATTTGGATAAAAAAATTTGAAGTGACAGCTGAAACTCTATGCAATAATCTTTCGTATACAAATCTACACACGCATACACACCGAAACACACACACATATATATGTATATATACTATGCATACAGGAGTTTTGAAGTTGACTACTAAATCCATATTTTCTCACATACTGCATAAACATTGCCTTTTTACTTTCTTGTACGAAGTACAAGTGTAGTACTTTTACTTCGTACAAGGAAGTAAAAAGAACGTATTGTAATCGCGAAAAGTTTAAGACATCATATTTCAACGCATATATCAATTTTTACCGCTATCGAATGCAATTTAACGATGTTTTTGCGTGACATCTGTACGTAAGGACAGAATAAAGGGCCCTTTCCTCCCCCAAAAAATTGTAAAACTAATTTAAAATGAATTCTGAAGAGAATTTTTCGAAGCGTATGTGTACGTACGTACGTATCTTGCATAACTCAAAAACGAGTAGCCTCAGATAGATGAAATTTTGTATATCGCACCGCTATAACATGTAGATGTGCACCTGGTATTTTGGTTACAATCGGCCGCACCAAAAGTATATATATATATATATATCTACTCTTGTTATTCGGCTCAGTGATCTCAGTTTCTTTATTCTTATATGTTTGTAAATTGTGCATTTTTTGCTTTAAAAATGATTGAATTAAGTTATTCTTATCTTCGGTTAAGATTTTCCTGCGTTTAGTAAATCTGTATGCCATATTTTTAGAATTATCAACAATTTAAAAGTTGTTTAAGTGATGCTAAGCCTAATTATTTTTGGCCATAGTGCCCATTGCTTGTTTACATTTGAAACAGCAGAATTGTTGCCAATCTAGAGAAAGTAAGCTTCGCAACAACAAAGATAACGCCTTCTTTTATTATTGCAAATTAAATCATGCTTAATCCATTCTGGAATTTTTTCGAGGAAATACATGTTTAAGATTTACTTAATTTTTAATAATTTAATTTTGAATAATTAGTAAATTTTAATACAGATATTTTGAGTTTTTATGTATTTTTGCGTTGTCACGAAGTGAGAACTGAATTTATTGAATGGGAAATACTCAATCGTCTGTGAAAATCTGTTTCTTTTTTGCTTTGTTTGCTTAATTTCTTTTATACATCGTTCTACCTTTATTATACTATTTGAATAGATCATGTGGCAATGATTAGATAATTCTTTAAATGATTTAAATTTTGTTTATTCTGAGTTATAATATGAACGAAATATAATATTGTTAAGTAAACCTAAAGCCAGAGTGTCGCTATGATAAACAAATAGAGTGAATTTGAAAGAATGCATTTATTCTATTGTGGTTTAGGGGCTATCGACGAAGTAGATTTAATTTAATCCAATAAGTTTAAATGAAATGCAAGAAAAAATGCGTATAATTCTATATTCCGTACAAGGAAGTCATGTGGTGTACACATCAGATTTTTTTTTTATATATTTCCATAATTCTCCTCTTACTATAGAAATATTTCCTTTATTATTAAATAACTATTTCCAGTAATTTTTCATAAATTACATAAATATTATTATTATTATTATTATTTTGCATTTTTTCACTTCCAATATAATGCAGATACAGTTCCAATTCGGGTCCTATTTTTCTGTTCATTACTCCGACATTCTCACAGAAATTTCATTCATTTGATTTGCCTCTCTGTCGTAAGACATAAACGAGGAATATTTTAATTTACTTAAAAACAAACATAATTTCAAAATTGTCATATCTGCATTTCACGTCCGAAGAATTCAACCTACAAATAAGGGCATACGGGCTTGCTCTCAGCTCCCTGAAATATTAAGTAGTTGGTGGCGCCAAAGTCAGATCCTGGCGATAAGGTGGGCATTTTCACCGCCTAGATTATCCTCCTATGCATGCACACATACCCTTCCTTCATAATATCTCTTTAACTCCATCTCCGGGCTACAAGAAGGAAAGAGCAATTTCGGAGGATCGCTCAATAGGTTACCAAAACTCTACCCTTCCTCGGACGACTTAATCAACTGATACCGATATTCCGGAACACAGGTGCGATCAAGGAGATTATCTTTGGCACATGATGCACATAGATACGATGATTCGTTTAGCAGATGAGTTGTGCGCAAGCGCAGTGCATCGGCATCAAAAGAAGTGAAAACAAACTTTTCCAAGAATAGTTTCGAAAGAGTAGAAGCGATGTCAATTGAGAAAATCTATTTCTTGTTCAGAAATATTAAATTAAGGCATCCTGCCCGATCATTCTCATTAACATTCTAATTTAAAGGGAATCTAAAAAAAAAAAAAAAAAAATCTGAAATGTTTCAGATTTTAAATTACGTCCAAAGGGGCGTTTTTTAACATTTTGTGTGTTACCTTTCTTTATTAAATATCATGTTCCTCGCACTTAAACCATAAGATCCAGTGCAACAGCAATATCGAAAAACAGTTTTAAAACGAGCATATCTTTAGAATTTCCGATACAGAGACTCACGCGCTGGAGATAAAAATGTTTTTTCTGCACAACGTTGCCATTGCTCGCTTTGAAATCCTTGAGTTTGTTAATCAAAAATTCGTCAAAGTTTTAAAAAATAGGAAATCGATCATAAAACAAATTTCAAATTTCAAATTTGGTCTTCCACA